TGCCACGTATATATCTTAGAAAGCTTTTTTTTAATTCATATTTATTTTGTCCAAAATTTTCTTTCTAAATGGCTTTAGGTTCATTTCCCATTTCTTCTGAGTTTATTCTTAATCTCTGCAATATGAAGTTTAATCTGTTATTAATTCAATAACTAACACATTTGGTCATATATATATATATATATATATATACATATATATACATACATACATGTATATATATATATCTTCATGTGGAAGAACTATCTAAGAAACTTTCCTTGTTTTTGACTGGTTGCTGTTGCTACATGGCTAAAATGGATGCTTTTATTCTTTTTCTCATGGTTATCAGTTTAGATTCACACAGACTGTTTGGGTCACACAACTACCTTTTCTTTAGCCAATATCTGATTATGTAGTTCCTCACAATGTTCAATGTACAAAAGGAATAACTAGAAGTGTCTGGATATTGTTATTTCATCACAGAAACTCTTCATTTGTCTGGATAATTATAAATTTCTGATTGCATCTTAAACTTGAAATGTTCACAAATCTTTACCAACAAATTGGTATGGTATTTGATTAAGGTAATTCCTGAGTTACGGTAACTATTTCCATTTACATCAAAATTTCATTTTCAACAATATATTTTCTCTACTGTATCTTACAATGTGAAGTGTGTGGCTTAAATTTTTCTCTGTTCTCTGTGTCTGTCATCTACTTCATGCTGTTGCTAATATGTCGCTCATTTTCAATCTATGACCTCCCCTATTACCTTAGCATTTCTGGTGTTTTTCTCAAATCTTGAAGCTCTCTTGTCTTTTGATTTCACCTTGATCTTTGCTGAGAATTTGGCTTGCCTGGTATCGATTCCATGCAATAATGGGTTTCATTGTGACATTTCAATCTATTATAAAGTTTTGCATAGTCTGTGTTTAGTAGACAAAAGGCCAAAAAATGACATGATTCACATAAATTTAAATTATATATAAATAAGTCAGTTTTAAAGTGTCTAATGTTTAATGTTTGTATTTTAACCCATAGAATCTATTCTTTTATTATGCAGTCATCCTTTGACTAAGACTTTTTTCCAGAGCTAAAGTCTGGAAATATGCCTCCCATATTTCAAAAGCAATGAGAAGTATTTGCGTTTAAAAAACATGCTGACAAGAAATCTGGCTTAATAAATGAGACAGTGACAAAGCACTTGTCGCTGTGAACCCTGCCACACCGGGCATTTTATGTGCGGACATTTTTTATGATCCTGGCAGCATTTTGTAGTAACACACTGACCCTGGATTTATGTATCAGGATGCTGGCCTTTATTTTACATTGCTACTGTATAAAGGCATTAAGACTGAATTTACAACATTTAATATTTTAGGATAATTGTTTGATGAGGCATGTCCATCACCTTTGTTTTGTTTTTTTTTTTTTTTTTTTTTTTTTTTGCTAATATGTAACTTGTATAAACTGTTTAAGTCCAAATTGGAAACTTTCAAAATGGGTACTTCACACTAGTATAGTTCGTACTAAATGTGCAAATGACCCTTCTGAGATGTTTATTGGTGGGAATCGCTGCATATTGCTAAGAACTCTTCTTTTGACAGCAGACTTGTGGAAGCAGAAGAACCCAGGCTGAAATAAACTCATTGACTGTACGTTGTTACAGTTAGTGTCTGGCCACTGAGATTCATTATTGTCTCAGTTCTGAGAAACACAGACTGGTAAATCCACAATCTTCTTTGATTGATTGTGCAGATGTGAATAATTGGACAAGAATTCTCAGAGCAAAAATATCACACCAGTGTACTTTAAAAACTGCTTTAAACATGAGCAATCTATAGAAAGGAAACTGAGAAAAGTATAATGAATTTCTGTGGTGTGGGAAAAATTGTCAGTTGATTGATTTAATTTGTTTGTTTGTTTCTAAAAGTTGTAGAAGAAAAGCATATATGTAACCTCTAGTTACATGATGTTTTGTGAGGTGATAAAATAAGAATGGACATAATAACTAAGTTTTATGTTTTATAGAATGAATTATATTACAAAAATGATCATGTACATCTTTTTCCTAAGACAAATAGAACACTTAATGAAAGGCATTCTTGTCTTTGGTGTCTGAAACTTGTCTTTATGATAGATTGTATTTTTTAATATTTAATTTTCTTTCAAAGTACTTCTCTGTATGTTATTTCTTTTTATGTGGTTTATTATGTTACATAAAGAATTAATGTTTTAATGAATTGGCAATTGCCTCGGTATAAGCAATAAAGGAAATTGTGTACTTAGAGTGTGGTGGATTCTAAGCATAGTGATGCCATGAGCTCAGGAAACAACAGGGGATCCATCCTCCTGTGAATGTAACTTTACTTATCCATACAATGAATTACCTGTAGAGGCACATAGACAGAAAACTTCTAATAACGTCTTTCTGTGATATTAATACTTATGAGGTTTCCTAATGGTATGTCTAAATATTTGGAATTTTCTCTTCTTCATGGGACACTTTTAGTTTATTCTCCTGTCTTATTCACAGAAATCATTTTCATTATTTTCTGCTTTTCCACGGGTATTATTTGACAACAAACATATTTATTTCTTCTTTTATTACTGTCTACTTTGAATAATATTCTAAACTCGTTTGTGCTGTTCTCTAAGCTCAGTGACGCTCACGTGTTTTAGAGCAGGAAATGGTGAGATGCAGTGACTCACCCACACATCTTTTTCCCCACACATCCCTAAGGAAAGAGCTGAAGTCAAGGATGAAATACTATGTCATTTGTGATCAGCACCATGTTAAGAGGACCCGGTGCCTGGCTTAGAGAATAAGGAAAGGATCATTATTTTATTTCCCCATAAAGAAATTAGCAAGTGTTGATTTAAACGATTTGGAAGCACTGTAGTTTCCTGTTGGTTCATTTTGATTTTTTTACTCCATGTCCCTAAGAAAGTATGCAGTTACTTATAAATGATAGAAAGAAAGGTTGGAGAACCCATCAAAAATGCAGTGGTTTCTTACCAGCCCACAAGGCTATGAGGCAATGAGATCTAAAGCTCTGAACACTCAGACCAGTGATTATTTTAATAATAATATTGAACATTTTCCCAGAAGGTGAAATATGATAAGAATTAAATACTGCCTACATAAACAATATCTGTAAATTTTATCAAAAATAAACAGGTTAGGTTAGGTTAGGCTAAGTTTAATCACAAAGGGATGATATTTGTAACTAGTATGCAAAATCATACTTACATTATGAAAAATGTTTAGTGAGTCATATTCCATAAAAAATCTATATGGTTCTTATTCACAATGAAGTGAGACCAGGTCAATTGACCATAACAGAACGTTTCTATGAAGATAGGTTATATACAAGGAAAAATTAGGACATCTATTCTTTAGCATGTGGAAGACTTATGGTGATTGTGGCAATCTTTTTATCAGAAATATCACAGTCTTACATAGTATAAGAATTTGGATGGCAGTTGAATTTCAAGATAGCTGATCTTTGTGAATGTATCAGTGTGGTAGAGTCAATCACAGTGCTTATAGAACCCAACTTCTTGATATTCTACAGTTTGTGTTTTAAAAATATGTTAAATAAAATACTTTCATTAAAACCTACAGAATATATACTTGTACAAGTCACAAATACCTAGACAGGGGGTTAAGATGCAAGTTGTTGTAATTATTGTTGAACCACAGAAGTTGTGTTTATCAACCACTGTGTACCTAAGTGAAGCACACAATAAGGTGTTTTAATATGGAGGCTAAGGGTTGAGGAGAAAGAGGGAAAGAAGGAAGTGGCTTGATATATTATTGCTTGTAGTGTTTAAGGTCTTGGTCTAGTGTAGTTATATTAAACTACCTACACAATAAAATGCACCAGAAGCTACAAGTCCTTTTAGCGAGAAGTATGGGGTGTATGCTTAAGGGGTGAATACACACTTGTACATTCACACACACACACACACACACACACACACACACACACACACACACACACATCTTAGAGTGAATAGTAAACCATCTATCAAAGTGGTAGCATAAAGACACTAGATTAAATAAGAAAACCTAGCTTTGAGACCAGTTCTGGCACATGTGCGCTATCTTATCTACCAGTGGACAGTCACATAACCACAGGAGTCCTCATGCTCCTTTCACTGAAAGTTAATACTGAGGCATATGTTCTCTTATGTCTAAGTATGTGTTTAGACTGGCTTAGATTTGCTAAGATCCTTCTGCTTCTAGCTACCATCATTCTGTAAATTTGCAATCAGTCAATTGCTCTGCTGAATTCTTCTGTGCCTGGTAGATGGTTTAATAGGAAAAACAACAGACAGAGTTGCTTCTAATGATGCTATTGCTCTTTCTTATGGGGCATCTGCCTTGCAAATAAAAGGAAAGGATCTACAGTCTGTAATCTTCAGTTTTAGCTACATGTACCTCCTTCAGAGTTGAGGCATAGGAAAAAATGCAAAGAACAATGCTTTACTTGCTCAATATTCATTCCAGGTATACTAAAACTTGCCCCTTAGGAATTGTGTGATCCTGAGGAGCTTTTGTTGTTGTTGTTTTAACTACTATGTACTTCTTTCTTGCCCATGTAAACCTCAGGAAACAGCGTCTACCAACAAGGTTGTTAGAGAAGCCAATGGGATGTTTATGCAATATTTAGCATAAATGAAGCATATAGTGCTTGAAGAATGTTAATTATTTAGATTATGTCTCTATTAATAAATCATCATTTTTCAACATACTAGCTGCAGAAGGGAGGGATGGGCAATAACGTTTCTATAAGTATATCCTCCTGTGTGGGCAGTTTCTAGCTTTGCCCAGAAGCTTGGAGAAAAGAAATTGACAGAGAAGCCTTGAAAATGTTGTAGTACTTTACAGTCTGGGTTAGGAGACCAAGTGCATTAGAATCCCTCGCTGGCCATAACTGTTTTCTTCTCAAGTTGACACCTATCTGAAAATCTTTCACTTGTTTTCAGTGACCTCCAACCTTACAAAGCCAGGAGAAGCCAGTACTGCTGGGAGTGAGGGCGGCGAGGGCGAGACCGAACTCCTCGAGGCACTCTCCCTGAAGGAGCGGATGGCAAGATACCAGGCAGCTGTTTCCAGGGGTGACGCCCGCAGCTTCTCGGCTAATGTAAGCAACTCTGCAGAACTTTGCATGAGGTGATATGCATGCTGTCTGTACCTACTTCTTCCTTACTTTTGAAAAACAAGAATAGTATTAGGGATTAGGTTATTTCTTACAGAAGAGCAAAAGAATTTAAAAAAAAGTAAATAAATAAAAACGTGAATCTAATTCAGACCTTCTGACTTGAAGCACGGATGTGCTGTTTGATGGTTGAATGAACCTGAACTATTCTCTCCACCCCACCCTGAGCTTCAGTTTCCTGCACTGAGGAATGGGAATAATCATCTACCACATAGGGTCTTGGGGAAGAACCAAGGAGGTAATTTATGTGGAAGCCAGGAGGCACTGCATAAATGTGTTATTATTGTCATCATTACCACTTAACCTATAGCTATTCTCCTCAGGAAGGTTGAGAATTAATTTCAAATTTTAATAATGTGGGCTTATGTGTGCCCTCCTTTGCCTTGTGTATCATTCATTTAAATTCTCTTGCAGTGTAATTCTTTTGCTTTTCTCTGTATGCACTGACTCCATTAGGAGAGGCTTAATCAACATAGAAATGAGAGAGATTATCAATGCAGGCACTTTACTAAACCAATTATGATTATGGGAAACTCTGAGATTCAGAAGGACCACCAATTTTAGAGCCAACCCATAATAAAGTGATGTTCAAAAGAATTTGTTGGATTCTGTATTTTGTGCCCTTCAGCTTAATGAAATATGAGAACATTCTTTTATAATTATAATCCCCAAATTAGCCATGGTGTGTGTGTGTGTGTGTGTGTGTGTGTGTGTGTGTGTGTGTGTGTGTGTGAGAGAGAGAGAGAGAGAGAGAGAGAGAGAGAGAGAGAGAGAGAGAGAGAGAGAGAGAGACTGTGAGTGAGACAGAGAGGTTCCCAAAGGTAGTATTTAAAAATAGCTACTCAACATTTACAAATTATTTAGAGACAAGGCTGACTGTGCCAAACTCATTAACAGGCCCGCAATTGCAGATGACATTTAAGTTTCTACATAGTCATTAAAATACATTTTAGATACTGCACAGATTTGGAATGAGTGTAGAGAAATGACATGAGTAACTAGATCACTTCCAAAACAAACTCTTACCAGTTCAACATGGCTTTCTGCTAGTCTTCATAGTGAGCACCCCCTGCTGGAGCATTTAAGAATGTCATGCCACAGTACTAAATTACTAGGGGAACAGTCAACATCAAAATGTATAGAATCCTAGAAAAAGAAATTCTAAGCTATCTGATAGTGTCTAAGATGAGAAAATGCCTCACTAAATACTTTCTATTTAGTAAACAATGGTTTTACTTAGAAAGACTTAAATCTTTTCCCATAATTGGGTAATATGTCATAAAACAGATTAGTATCATGGTATGATTTATAAATCTAAGGTGCGAAAAAAGCAAATGCTAAAAATAGGCACAAAGCCGATGATTTACAATACAAAAGAATTCTAATGATTGAAAGTAGTCCTATAAAAGATGTTAACTCTATTTAGTCACTGAATGATATTTCTCTAACCTTAACGTTTTGTGATTTATTGACCTCTGCTACATTTATTTTATTCCCCTCCCCACTATGTAGCTGTTAGGAACACCAACATCACTCTAGTGTACTCATACTTGGTGCTGTGTTTACTACTGTTCATTGTGGTGGGTTTCACCACCATGTTTGGTTGTATCTTCAAATTGGCAAAATACAAAATGTTATAAAGAAAAATAATCCCTTGACCTTAAGGGATTCTTAAGAAACAACAAGAAAAATTCTTTTTGTATTGGAAAACTAACTCTTTCTTCTTGAAAAACATTCTCATCAAGGATTTAGTGAAAGGAGGTGTATTTCAACCATTTTTTATTTTTGTTACTATTTTCAAACAATGTGCTTGAACCAGAATCACTTCTTATGGTTCATACACCCAATGCTCTTATAGTGATCAGAAATGAGGTGGAACTGCCCAGCTCTGCCTGCAAGATGTAAGTCAGATCTCACTGTATGCTGTAAGGAGTTCTTCCCCAATGCATGAGTTGTGAAGAATGAGCTGCTATTGGGTCTGATTAACTGTTCATGGACTATGCTGTATTGTATGTGGAGGCTATTGAATGCTTAACTAAAATGGACACAGATAAATTAGATGATTCTGTTCAATAAATAACAGAAACTGAGGCAGAAATTTTCTACATAAAGGAATATAATAATTGTTCTCATTTCTGCCCATGTTATAGGCCAAACTTTTAGTGAAAATTACTTATAAAGGATTGGACAATTACTAAGTTCAATTCTTAGATCCATATGCCAATGTTCTTTTAACTATATTTAATGTTCCATTTTCATACAAGAGTGTGTTTTGACCCTCAAACTTCAATGTGTCTCAAATATTATGATGGAGAAAATATTGCAATGAAGAAGAACATTTATAAGCACACACAAAAAAATCCAATAAATAGAGAAAAACAAAGTAAAAGGAAGGTCTTGTTTGTCAGCGGCATCAAGTGCTTCAGCACTTAGCCCAATGAAGCTACTTGTGACTCTCTACACAGCTGACACAAACATTGCAAGTGGAAAATCTAGAAGTCACAGATTCAACCCAAACCGAGTCCAATATGCTTGAACAGCTAACAGTGATCCACAATTTCCTGTTGTGCTGACTGCCAGCTGGCAATGGTAGCTCAGGATTCACATCTTGCACATGGAACAGCAGCAGTCTGCAGACGGCCCAAGAAGAGAGAGTGAAGTAATGTGTACTGACCAACAAATTACATGCCAGATTCTACAGGGTAGCTTCATTCTCTTTATCTTTTTTAGCACACACCATAAATTTGTAAAAAGACATATTTCCCTGTCCAGTTCATAAAACAGAAGCTTCAGGAACTTTAGGTCAGGTTTTTATCAGAACTAAGATTGAAAAATCACTGTTTGTTCAACTTCTCAAATTACGCGATGTAACTGAAGTTTTCTCTTGTCCTGCCCAGCCCCACGGACCCCACAGCTGCTTATAAAATAATCACTCAGAAGCTTATATTAATTACAACTGCTGGGCCATTTGCTCAGGCCTACCACTGACTAGCTCTTACATTTAAACCCAGCCCATTTCTGTTAATCTGTATGTTGCCATGTATTCCGTGGCTTTACCTGTGTACCATTACATGCTGCTCCCTGGACAGCGAGCTGGCATCTCCTGCCTCAGCCTTCCAGCCTTCCCACAATTCTCCTTATTTGCTTATCCTGCCTATACTTCCTGCCTGGATACTGGCCAATCAGCATTTTACGTATCAACCAATCAGAGCAACACATTCACAGCATACAGAGCTATATCCACAGCACTGCTGTTTCTTTTTAGTCCTAGTAACCCAAAACCATTCTTGGTCATTGATTAGGATTTCCATCTTATATTGGTGACGGGTAATAAATTTGCCTAGGTTTAAGTGTTGAGCATTTAAATTAACTCATTATTATTGACATATCCATCAGATTCCATTAGATCTTATTTCCAAACCCAAACTTCAGGTATGAGGTCATGAAAAGCAGTACACATTAGTTGGAGCACTCAGAGCATGGTACTAAACAAAGCGAGACCACTGGAGTGACCTGTGAGCAGATGTCCCTCCAGATACGACTACAAACTGCAATCCTGCCATTTCACTTGGATAGCCTTTCCTCTACAAGACTAGGTCAAGGCAATCTTAGCACCATTATTATCCTCCTTTGGGGATATGTATCTGACCCAATTTGGCCAACAGCTATGGTGTGTCATAGTGTCACCAACCATAGCAGGGATACTAATGTTCACAAGGCTATGAAAAATCAGCAGCTCTATGCACTTGAGTATGTGTAATGTGTCTGATCCCAGAGTAGATGTCAAAGGAAAGGGATGGCTATAGCTGTTTTTTAATCCACATGGTAGGTAAGAGGCAATCGGTACAGGCAAGCTGAGAACTGATACTTGTTTGAAGAGTATCCAATTTTTGATATTATCACTGAGGCTTAAGAAATTAATTTGCATATGATTTTGCATTGCTTATAGTTATTTAAATAGTAAGGTTCTTGACAATAATTACTTAATTCCTAAAATCTAAAACTTATATTTTACTTGCAATATTATCATTTCAAGGAGGCCACTTATACAAAATATTGGTAGATGGGGTTAGAAGAAATATTGCAGCCTTAATTCACATTTCTGTTTCTTTACCCTCTTTCATTTCAAAATGGATCTCCAACTTTCTCATGACCTTCACATATATCAAATGTCTGTAATTAATTAAGAATTGCATTTATGGTTTTTAATAATTGGAGAGTATATATGGAATACATAAGATATATACAACCATTTATCTTACCATTGAGCAATTCTGAAATGATTGAGAAAGCATGAAGCCAGAGAAAAGTTGTTATGGTAATACAAACACTCCAGTGTTTGATAGGAATTCATATAACTCTGCATGAGTTCAGACTCTAGCACTCCCATATTAGGTCCTGACATAGATGTACTTCTCACAGCCTTTCAAGAAGCCTCACATTTTGGGTAAAGATTCCAGGACCCTGAGTATCCAGAGTGAGTAGGATATGAACCTATCTGTCAGGACTCCTGTGACTCCTGTGGCTTATACGGCCCTGGGCTCCCAGGGCTATTTATGTCATCCCTGGACCAGACATCAGAAGTCCTGCTGTAGCTTGAAATGTCACTGAATCTCCACCGACTCACATGTAGGACTAGAAGCTTCTCAGGCAAAGGGCTGACATGGGGTTGTGTTGCTTGTCACTTGGCATCCCATCCTGGCTTGAGTGTCTGCTTGGCTATGGAAGTTGTTGAATCATCTAAATGAATGCCCTAGGCTCTTTTGCACTTCCCTGTGAGTCCTATAATCTGACAGGGCTCCTTGGTACCCAGCAAGTTGTTTCCCAAGCTATGTACAGAGATCAGTTTTCTCATCTAAAAATATGCCCTTCTAGTCAAACCTCCTATTCATGCTACTTGGTTCTGACATGCCGGTGCTCAAAGCCAAATTGAGATGTGCCAGTTCTAGTGAAGAGTAGCTGTTTCCCTGTCTATTCACTGAGGCTATGATTGAGACAGACAGCTGTGATTCAGATTTAATGCCTTCACTTAATGTCCTACATTTAAGGACATAAGCTGTTTCACATCTCTAAATCTCAGGTTCTTTAGATTAAAATGTAGATAATTGACGTTCATAGCTCGCAAGATACCTAGAGCCAACTGATGGAAATATAATGTGTGTAAAACTCACCTAACACTGTACCTCCAGAAGCTGCTGGTTTTACTGACAGTTTTAAGTCATTTTGCATAAGGTACTTTATTTTGTTCATTCAAAATGATTGAAATAATACTTGATGTTACTAAAAAATATTTGAATTATTATTCTTGATAATGTGTCTGATGCCTGTACAGATGTTTGAGATTTGAATGACGGCTTTACTTTGAGTTATAATTCATTTCATTATTCTCATACCCACAAGGCATCTAGTATATTATTACAGGAACATAGTATTCAATCTAATATAGACATCACGATTTATCTCAAACAGTAATAATAGTCAGTGTTTTGAAGATGCATTTTATAAAAACTCTGGTAAATGGCAAAACAACTGGACAGTTTACCTTACAATCATTTTATTTATTTATTTTTATAATTTTGTGTCAATATCTCCTTTTGTGTTCCATCCACCAATAATTGTCAGTTATAATGCAAAAATAGCCTGAGCATACTGACTATTTAGATGAAACACTGAATTGTCCTCTTAAATCACTGTAGGTCATGGAAGAATCTGAAGTGTGCACCGTGCCTGGTGGTTTAGCCAAGATGAAGAAACAATTTGAAAAGGATGAAGTGACTTCAACCTGTAATGGTTTCTCTGAGTATCAATACCAACACCAGAGCAGATCTGAACAGGTAACGCCACTGTGGGTGATGGGTAACTCATTTAGAGGTGAATTTGCTCTCGCCAATGTAGAAACACTCCTTCTCTGGTGGTAGAGTTATTTTCATTGCCCATTTAAAAAATTGTCATTTAGAAAAATCATTAAAGCATATTGGTGTGTTGATTTATTCAGTTGAAAAAAATTGCCATGTGAGCCCTGTTGGAATGTTCTCCTTCAGCATCTTATGTTTCAGACATAAATGAAAGTTAAATAGTCTAACTTAGTCAGCAAGTAAATAGACATGCTGAGAGCAATGTTTGCATTGAGCTTCTGCTTCTAGGTTGTGATTCATGATAAACTACCTGTTGGTTGTTTGCATAGTTGTGATATGAAGCATTATTCAGCATTTGTTGTGGGGAGTCTTATTTTGTTTTCTTTTAAATCATCAAACATCAAAGAGTAGGACCCAGATGTTACATAAAACCACATAATATGACTTCTGGCATATAAACTTTTCCTATTTCGCTATTTCAGTAACATATATCACCAAATATTTTCATGAGATACAATGGTTTTTAAATGTGAAAACCCATCAGACAGAGTTCAGCACTCAGAAAATTCACAACTTCAGTGGAAACAGCTGTACTTTGAGCTTCTGTTTTCCATAAGAAAAGAATAAACTAGGATATGAAATTTTGCAATAGGAAATAAAGTGGATGTGTCTTATTTAAAAAAAATGTAGAGCGAAATAAATTTTATAAATATGAAACAGTCAGGTGCTGTGTGTGGCAAGTAAGTAAGTACTTAAGGCATCGGGAGCAATGATTAAAAGTCTAATACCTGAACAATAGTTATCTTGTTTTAGCTTTGTCTAGAGGGTGGAAAGGTGTAATACAATTAGCTAAATATACTTACTGCAGTAATTATAATGATGCCTAAGCATGTATAATGTGAACAAGAAAGTAAGACATGGTATAGCTGTGATCTCACATATAATTGTTGGGACATAGGAAACGGAGTAAGACAAGTATAGATGGGATGTTTAACTTAAATTTGTCAAAAATATAGGTATGTTAATAACTTAAGTAACCAATTCCTCACAGAAGTAAGTATATATTTGTAGATACATTACTATTAGGAAAACTGTGTTATAAACTTCAGACCACAAGTTTTGGGATTCACAAATCAGAGTTCAGTTCAATCTCTGATACTCACATTTTGAATGGCATAGGCCTTGGGTATACACATTTTTGCCATTGCATAAGGCCTTCCCACCATGCTTAGAAGGACCTGTGCTTAGTTTAACACTGTACTCTCCATTCTGAAATTTGCAATAGCTTTTAAGCAGTTGACTCCATGTTTTCTTTTCATCTGATTATAAATATGATCTTCAGTATCTACATTATTGTGAAGTTGCACTCACATCTGGAAGCATAAAATAAATCCATGGTACACCCAAATCTCATTCACAAATGAGGAGTTGGTTTAGGCTCCTGTGGTGTATAAGAGCTGATTTGTACAATTCTCTATCATTAAATTTGGGGAAAAGTTTGAAAAAGATGATGGTAAACTAGTAGCTGGAAGATTGGCAAAGCATGGTGTCTTTGCAATAGTCAGAGGCACAGACATTAGAGTAAGAGCAGGGCTCAAGTGTCTACTCCCTTAGTGATCTGTGTGACACTTAGCAAGGTCCTTAACCTCTCTGTGCCTTGAGAATATAATAGAATCTAGCTTCTGGGTTTATTTACAAAAATAAGTTGATGTTCATAAAGATTAAAACAATGCCTAGGGCTTGAAGTGAGGTAGCTCAGTGATGAAGAGTATACACTGCTCTTACATTCACATCATGGATCACAGTCACCTACTTTCCAGCTCCTAGGGATCCATCACCCTCTTTTGGCTTCCACAGACACTGTTCAAACAAGTGAACAAACTTACACACACACACAGAGAATTAAAATTAAAAAGAAAAATTAAAAGATAAGCCAATGCCCATACCATCGTATGAACTAAATAACAGTTTGTTTGTTTGAAGTACCACTTTAATTATGTTTCTTCTTATCATTTGGTCTTGTTTCATCTTAGTTCACTCTATTATCACTCAGATTGACTGACAATCCTTTTCCTGGGGTTCAGACACACACACACATATATCATGCATACATTCACACACACACACACACACACACACACACACACACACACACACACACACAAAGAGAGAGAGAGAGAGAATACACACAGACAGACAAACAAACAAACAAACAAACAAATAAATAAATAGCAGCCTTCAGCACCCTACCTCTGAATGAAAAATTTGCTGTGGAAATAGTCTGATGACTGGCTTAAGTACCTGCACCTGATTTACCTACGTAGAAATTCTCAGCATATGTTTGTCAGTGAAGATTACATCCTGTGGAAACCAAGATAAAGGAAACACAGGACCACTCTGAGTTACTATTGGATTCAGACATGCTTTGTGACTCTGGGACACCGAAGTACATGAAAGCAACAAAAACAACACACTGAATAAATATCCAGCTCGAGAACTGCAGTGGCCTGCCTAAGCTTCGGTTTCGTTATCTATCTTTAGATAGAGTAATGTTATCTGACAATTACCTGAGGACAAACAAATCTAAGCTAATACAATGCACTTTATAATATAAAGCAATCACAGGCAAAATTAAACTAGTAAGCAGCATTTATCAGATGCCTTTTGCACATAGAATCCTGTGAGAAAATGAAATAAGTCACCTCTACGTTTAAAAAAAAACAAAGGCTTTAATTTGAATCTTGATTAGAAATCTGAGATAAATGTCAAATTTGATTCTAAAGGGGGAAGAGACAACTATCTTAGATACCCACTTAGACTTTTTAAACAATCCAAATGCATTCTAAAAATGTGTACTTGTATCAAGAGGGATGAAGGACAACATGCATGCCAATAGATGGGTAGTTAATTCTGTTCTTACATAAGATATTGCAGCTCAGATGACATTTGCAACCCTTTGGCTTATTGAAAGTACTTGAGATCTATCTTCCTGCTCAGTCCTCCTTTGGCCAAATATATTTAATTTGATGGCATGCAGTAACTAATATTAATTTGGAAACCAGTTTAATTAGGGTAAAAAGAAAGAACATTTGTGTTGGATTTCTGACAATATTTAATGTCACTGTTAGTAATGTTTTCATTAGTTGTAATAATTAAGTCTAATCTGCCCCTTTCCTTTCTAATGTATTGAAGTCAGAGTTTTCAAGGTAATTGGCTATTTGGTAACAGTTCGTCTTAGAGACCAGCAATTGGAGTAAACAGGGCTTGAAAACAGACGTATCTGTGAAATTTAAAGTCCCTTATACTTGCTTTATACCTACAGGAAAGAAAACGCTTAGTTATTTTTCCTGTGACAAAACACCAAACAGAAAGACCCTAAGGACGGTGGGGCTCCTTTTGCCTCAAAGTTTCAGGGGATTTAGTCTCTTAAGGTGGAGAAGGCAAGTGGAGTGGCCTGGTCTGTGCCAGCAGATTGCTGCTCCTAACGTTGTGGGAGATCAGGAAGCAGACCATTCAGAACTGGAACCAGAATCTTAATACGAGCAATAAGCTGCCCTCTGATCCCATCAGCAACCTTCGTCTGCCAGCTAGGCAACATACCAAAGATTTCCTACTCCCCCAAAACAGCACCACCTGCAAGGAATGAAGTGTCCAAACCCATGAGTCTCTGTGTTACACTCAACCAAATGAGGGGAACCAAGACTTAGGAACACCCATTGATGCCAGAGTTGTTAAACAAGATGATGTCTAATCTTATATATGGGACTAGTCATGCTATATGGTTCTATTTAACAGTAGCATCACTGATGCCCAGTGAAGTAACCACAGGAAAATCATTAAAGAAAAGAGCCAACCTCAGTTACTGGGAGAAGAGTGATTAGTGGTGGGACAAACACAGATCTTCAGAAGAACAGAGTTGGGGCTGGATGGTAGAGCATGCCTATAATTCCAGCATTTAGGAAATTGGAACAGAAAGATCACAAGTTTGAGGCCAGCCTTGTCTACTAGCCTGGACTGCATAAGGAGATGGTTACTTTAATATATATATATATATATACGTGTGTGTGTGTGTGTGTGTGTGTGTGTGTGTGTGTGTGTGTGTGTGTGTGTGTATGTGTAAACTTTGTAGGGAATCTTGATTGGGTTGCCCCACTGATTAGTACTAGTTTTTAACAGCATTCATGTAGATGTTGCCTTTCATAAAACCAGTTTTGCTTCTAGCAGGCATGATTGGCATCTATCTCTCTCTGGGGATATTGAGCCACTCAGACTACCTCCTGTTTATTATTTTTTCAGGTTTATCCTATCAACCTTCAAAATTGTTTTTCATTTTAGGAGTGAGTCTTCAGCATTCTATACTAGAAAAACTAGTGGATCCTTCACGCTAAAAGGCAAATATCACTTAAAGGGACACTTTTTAAATTTTAATTGTTATGCTTCAGATTTGTTTATTTTATGTGTATCAGTGTTTTGTCGGCATGTATGTATATGTACTTCTTGTGTGCCTAGTGCCTACAGAGCTCAAAAAAGGGCCTCGGATCACCTATAACTGGAGTTACAGATGGTTGTGACTGCTATGTGGGTTTTGGGAACTGTTCAGGCCCTCCGTGGAAGCTGCCAGTGCTCTTAACTCCTGAGCCATCTCTCCAGTCCAAAAGGACATTTTTTATTATTATTATTATTCATTCACTGCAACAGCCTCTGGGAGGAACATCTTAAAAATTCAGTTCTCTCAACCTCAAATGAGGACCTCAAACTACAGTATGGAGCAGCTGCTGGAATGAACTATTAATGGGAAAGGAGCTCCCATTTGTCCCCCTCCCCACCCTGTGTTCCTGCCTGTGTGCCACTCTACAGCTTCTGTCTGGTGTTCTTAGGGTTTTCATCCTCTTGTTCTATTTTTCCTCATTTAGAAGATTCATTCACATATCATTTATATGCCATAATATCCACCCACTCTATGGGTACAGCTCAGTGAC